AAGAACGGCCTGCTGGAGGCTGCTGCCGAATGCTGCGGATATAAACGGGTTGGCCTGTCGCCTGGAGGTCAGAAAAAATCTTCATGGTGGACAGGAGAAGTACAACTGGCAGTTAAAGAGAAGAAAGCAGCTTTCTAGAAATGACTTGAAGAGAAGGAGCCACCTACTCGCGTGCGATATGTCGAGGCACGCAAGGCTGCACTGAAAGCAGTGGAGAAAGCCAAAGCTGATTCCTGGGAGAAGCTCGATGAGGTGTTGGAGTCGAATTTCCACACAGCAAACAAGGTATTCCGGGATACGATCCGCCGGCTTCGAGCAGAAAAGGAAAGCAGTTTAAAGATTTTGCATTACAGGCCTAAACACAGTCCTACAAAGGATGGTGACGTTCTTCGGCGATAGAGGAAGTACTTTGAGGAACTCCTTAATCCTGAGCAACCCCAGGAAGACTCGCTTGTTGAGCAGCAGGGAACGGATATTACTATCTCTGTAGATGAAATAACACAAGTCGTTAAAAGTTTAAAAAATGGAATGACTGCTGGAATTGATTAAATCCGCCCGGAGATGCTCAAGACATTAGGCGAACAAGGCATGTGCTGGCTTACTTGTGTCTGTGAAACTGCGATTACTGCGGAAAAGACACCTGCGGACTGGAGAACGGGAGTTATTATATCCGTATTCAAAATGGGAGACCACACGGAATGCTCCAGTTATAGAGGCATTACGTTGTTAAGCCTCTCATGCAAAGTCTACGCATAGGTGCTAGAAAGAAGATGCCGCGAAATAACTGATCTCTAGATACTAGAAAAGCAGTGTTGCTTCCGGCCAGGTCGAAGCACCTCTAACTATATATTTGCCCTACGCCATTGTTAAGAAATCATGGGACTACGCCCGTACAGTGTACATATATTTTGTTGACCTAGAAAAGCCTATGACAGGATGCCACGCAACAGTCTGTGGTCATGCTTTCGAGCATGACGGGATAGATGGCCAGCTGCTAATGGTCATGCAATCACTGTGTTCTGATAACAGGTGCTGCGTCTTGGTAAATGGGGTTAAGTCGAAACCATTCAACG